TCTTCAAATGTAAGATGGTGAGAGAAAAAAAAATGTCAATAATCTTCAAACTGTGTTTCATTCCTACCGTGTATGAGGCTATCATAGTGTTTTTTGTGTTTCTATTTAATATGATTCATTCACAGTGCTCAATTAATTAATTATTATTATTTTTTTTCAATTAGTTTATTTCTTAAACAATTTTTTTGACATTTCTCAATACTCTGCCATTATAAATAGATAAAATGTATAAATTACGAATTTGAGATCAAGGAGTATCAGGATGTACTTTAAATAAATCAAACACATTTTGCAAAAATAACAACATCAAAATAGAATGCAGAATATGAAATAATACAACACTGACAATTTGTTTGATGTTATTGCAATCAATTACCTTTTATTCATGATCGTAATGATAAATTAGTTATTTGTACATGATGCTGTTATTTCTTTCCTTCCTTGCATTCTACACAGATCACATCTAGCAATCGATCTTGCATTCAATCTTGCATTCAATCTTGCATTCGCTTTAGATCTGCCAATGACTGAAAATTAAAGTTTGAATACACACAAAACCCTGTGGCAGACCTCGCAAAACCTGGAAGGAGACGCATAAAGATATGAGAGCATCAGGGGAGTGTTTCACAAAGACTAAGATCGACTTTAAGTTGGACTTAACTATGGCAGGCCGTTCGTGCTATTATTTTCTCTTATCATTTACTGGGATTGGTTTCTCAAGGGACGTACCAATCATGGTCACAAATCTACAGAATTTCATTTTTTTTTTAAAGTTCATTATTGAAGGAAAAAATATTATCTATAGATCATAATTGAGAGACCAATGGAGAGAGCAACCAGTGGCATGAATGGTCTGCCATGGTTAAGTCCAAATTAAAGTTGATCTTAGTGTTTGTGAAACACTCCCCTGGCTTCACCAAGGTAGGCCTACATGCTGAAGACTGGGCAGCTTGGAGATAAGCCATCAGGGAAATGGAACGTCCAAGCCCACAGGGTGGAACAAAAATGAACGAAAACAATGATGATAATGGCACACACACTGTAATGGCAATCAAAATTACACGGCATGATAAGCTGCAAATGATGTCTGAATCATGGTTACACAAATATTAATGCATCTTAAACAAAAATTTTCAAATAAAACCAAAATCCATTCGAAAAATCAACACCAGGTTTTAAAGCTCTGAAATATACTTATAAAGATAATGTAAATCATCCAAGCATCATTTGACCTATCATACTTGCCCTTTACCAGCTTGGTTCGACAAATGGAAACTACACTGGGCTGCCATGGTTAACCTTTGCCACACTCAAAACATGAGTGTAAAAAACACTCCAGAACAGTGTCCCAGCGGATGATTTCGATCCACAGCAGTTAAAGAGTTAATCTACATGTATTATTTTATGTTGTGTTTTGGTAGCTTAGCTGTTTTAAACAGTGTTGGTAACTGAGTCCGCTGAATGTCAGTCCACGAAAGAAAAGAAAAATGGCTGCAATGTGTTCTTTTTCGTAATACCAAAGGACATAAGATGTGATAACTATATCATCTGCCTACCACAGAAAGCAGCATTTGGTTTCATCCGTAAGCCATGAGCCCCTATCAAGTATTTTAATGATGTTGTGGTTTTCAAGTTAATGGTTTTTTTTTAGATTTCTTCCCTGTACGATTGATAAACACATACACCAAACATTATTTAACATTGTTAATCTTGCCAATACTGTAAATAGTCTAATATATATCATGTGAGTCTTTTTTAGGCCAAAAGGTCTATTTGGACCTTCAAGGAAAAAATTGCTACAAAAGTGACAAGACTCTACATTTAAGATATTACACAAAGGTCTTCAATGCTTATCCAAAATATTGTTCAATACAAATACATGTATCTCCTTCCAAACACCTATACTTTAGCTTGATCTCATCACCTGATATTTAGTTTTATTTCACCATGTTTTGATTATACTTTGCTCTGACAACAAAAGTTGTTACTTGTTAGTACACGATACATAATTTGTCTATTTCATGAATTATCCAATATGTACAAAAACACACCAGGGCACTCATTTTACTCTGTGAAACTTAGCATGGCAAGTTAAATGAGTGATAATCATACTGTTAATAAACTTAATATCCTATGAATAAAATAATATTTCAAATATATGGCAAACCTTTCATTAATTTCATACATAATCCTCAAAAATTCTACTACCCTTAACCGAGAGTACACCAAAAAATAGATTATTTACAATCCTACAACTTGTTTACATTCCAATGGAAAAGATTTTATCCTGTTCATCATTTATGCATTCATATAATCTTTGACACAGCAGGCTCATGATTTATTCAATTCTATACAAAATACAAATCCTTACTTGTAATTCATATTTGTAATTATGTACACAATTCCAGTATCCCAAGTTGAATCAAGCAAGTCAGATTGACTCTCTAATCAGTGACACCTGTCTGTGTTGTCCAAATCCACATTAGTATAGTCCCTAGTCAAGTTGAGTCGGCTATACAAGAAGAAAGGCTGACTAGATTCTGAGATGAAAGTCGACTCCTGAAGCTGTGACTCAAGTGTCCCATGACTCTACTTTCAAGTTGAGTTTAGTCACATTAGTATAGTCCCTAGTCAAGTTGAGTCGGCTATAAAAAAAAGGCTGACTAGATTTTGAGATGAAAGTTGAATCTCCTGAAGCTGTGACTCAAGTGTCCTATGACTCTACTTTCAAGTTGAGTTTAGTCAGCTCAAAAAGCTGATAAGAGTCTCTCTAGTCAGGTCCAACGTTGTGTTTATGCTTAATTGAGTTTGGCTCGAGTCGAGATCACATGGTTCTAGTTGCACTAGACATCTGTTGAGTATACCCAGCTCAAAAAGCTGTCAACAGTCTGTTTAATTGGGCCCTGAGTCAAGTCAATACCAATACAACTGTAACTTGAATTACAATTGAGTCAACGAGGTTCAAGTTACCTTTGACTCAATCCCAAGTCGAGTTCAGTTTACTAAATATTAAAAACTTGAGTATGATTTGAGTCAAGTTCCTAATAATCACAGTACAATGCTGTTTAATACATTCATAATACACAGCTGTCCAAGCACATAGCCTGTATAAAACAATCGCACTTCCACAGAATTTCATTACAAAACTTGAAACTCATAATAACTGACATTTCTCCTAAACAAAATATTTTTACAAATCTCATTGCTGAAATTTGGTGCTTCATTTGTCTTTTTACATAGTTTTTACAAAGTTGTAACACTAATCACACACATAATTACTGTCCGTTGTTGTGATAATATTTCAGTAATTCTGTCAATATATTACCACTCTCCTTGAGTGCTTACCGGTAATCACTAAATGCCTAGGCGGCCTTGTACAGATAGGCAGCAATCAACTGTGTCGGCTGTTTTGAATGAATTTGCTTGAAGAACAATACCAACACATATTAAGAGAAATAGCATAGTTTTCAGAGCTTGTGAATATATCAGTTGGGAGAAGTCAAAGAAACTACTACTTGAAGAATTATCCTCAGACAACATCATAGATTGCCTATTGGATCCCTTATTTAAATTCATCAACTGTTTTTTTCCTTCCACCGCTTAATATACCTTGTTTTCCTTTCCAATACAAAATATAGCATTATAAACATGTTAGGAGGTAAAGATGAGAAAAAGAGAGAATTGAACACTTTCACTAGATAAAGTACACATATAAAAAATTGTGAATTACTTATTCATAATGGTGTATGAAAGCAAACTAGCTTCGAAATACTGCATAGAGAAAAAGATGGATTTACTGTTAATACATTTCATACAAGAAACGAAAATGGAGAACAGGTCCTGATATTCACAACAGGGAAAATTAGAGCATTTGATTTTTGAAAAGATGCTTAGCGTAAACCAAAATTATGCCAAAGTGATTGAATTAGTGTTTGCAGTATTTTCAAGTATCCCTCTAAAGTACATGCAAAAAGGAAAAGTGAAATGTGATATTGCAAGGCTAGATAAAGAGCTTTTCTTGCTGTAAAAGGTAAAGACCAGTATTGGAAACGCCCCAATTTCAAAAAATGAAATGGAAGCTCTCATTACCAATCATGTGAAAGAATATGTTTTGACTAATACATGATGATACAAAATTTGCCGGGAAACCGCCTACTAATTCATATATTTGGTAAATTTGTTTCTCTCATGGTCTGTGAGAGATATAGGGTAGTCCCATATACATATTTCTGTGTATAGTGCTTGTAACTTTACGAAGAATGGGCCAAATTTCTTATCATTTTGATGATTCCAGAACCTTGCAGATGCTAGATGCTAGATGATCAACCTTTTCTGATCGATTCCACAACGTTTCTTTCACAATGCAATCGCATGACCATAACTGGTCTTCACCTTTAATACACAAAGATGTTGACAAAAATGAAAATAATACCAGGAATGTTTCTACAACATAATTCTGACATCATATCTGGATGTCACTACTTTCTAAATAATTTTTAGCTACCGTAAATAACGGAGTATAAACCGCACCTTTTTGCCGCCGAAAAAAAATTCAGAGTCGGGGGTGCGGTTTATACACGGTACACAAAAAAAAGTTTCAATTTATGCTCCTCCATCTGGCGCTATGCCTGGCAATGTCTCCCAGCTCAGTAATCGGTGTGTTTTTTTTGGTTTTTTTTAAAGGCGAAAAAGAAGGGTGCGGTTAATGCATGAGGGCGGTTTATACAACGTTAATTACGGTAATGAAGAATTATACAAAATAACAGAATGTACAAAGTAAAAGTATATTTCTAAATATCTCTCTATAAACATATTCAAGTTAGAGGTATCAACCAAAATATACAAAACTCTGTACCTACAGAGGAATTGAAAAGTAAATAAAATTAATATGCAAAGTCAACCAAGTATTCACAAGAAGTTAATTCTTATATAAATTTGTGACCCAGCAGCTTAAAACCACTCATAAGTCCCTGGAACTATTTCTTTTTTTTAGAATTCTCTTTTTTTAAAGGGGCTGTGTACTTTCTAGCATTAAGTATTTCAAGCTTTCTAATACTTGCCCGCACATGCTAATGTAGAATACTTGTAATTTACTCCGGTAGATTACTCAACTGAAATCTTATGGCATGCCAAGAGCCATCTTTATCAATCACATCTATTCAGAGAAAAATCAAAATTTGCCTCATTTGCTCTGATGTTAGAGTTGCAACTTGCCAGTTCTTAGCTGTTGGGCCATAGTTCATATGATATTGAACACAAGATCTGAGATTTTCTTAGTGATTTCAAATGACTGATATCTTATATTTTTTTTAAATGCACAATGATTGTTTTTTTACTTTTATTCTCCTTAAATTTACCCGTTACCCTCAACCCAATCAACCCCAAATTCATTCAGTTCATCTTTCTACAATTTTACATACTACAGACAAAATTCAGAAATCCTGCCTTACAACCATGGCATTATATCTCAAACTTTAAAAAAAAATGTAATCAGTGTCTCTATCCAAGAACAGAGGTTCCTACCGAGAATTTATGCAGTAATTAAAAAAACTACTAGATCAGACATAAACTACACGAGTTGATGGCTTTTAAGATTTCAGCAATGGAAACATGCGTATATCACCAGACTCGGTTCAACTAGTCTAAGAACCAATCCCAGTTTAAATAATGTACTTAACTAGACATTCATGGATAGGCACCTCTCCATCCAAAGACTTAGAGTAGAATAGACTCACAGTAGACCAATGATAATTCCTGGAACAGAACCACAGTTGACTAACGATAAGTCCCGGACCAGACTCACGGTAGACCAATAATAAGTCTTCGATCAGACTTGCAGAAGACCATTTATAAGTCCTGGACCAGACTAGCAGAAGACCATTTATAAGTCCTGGACAAGACTTGCAGAAGATCAATTATAAGTCCTGGACCAGACTCACATTAGGTCCAATAATACGGTCCTGGACCTGTGTTAGGGAGGGATGCTGGTCTAATCTGCCTTGAGGAGCTTGCTGTACTCCTCCTGCTCCTTCTCTCGGTACTCCTGCTTTACACTCATCCGCTTCAACTGGCCATCCCTGTTACCATGGAAACAAAATAATAAATAAATTTAATGCAATTCATATTTCCGGATAGTCCTCTATTCGTGAGGGCAGAGTTTTAATCAAACGACCATATCTATGAAGAAGATAACCTCAAAACAAGAAATGTAAATGTTTGCTATCAGTGAGGATAAAATGACCATTGAAGAGCAATCCCATGTTCATGGCTAGTTAATTTAAATGAGAGCAACAACAACAACAACAAAAACATCAGAGAAACAGAGGGCAGAAGATGGACAGAATCAGTCAAGCATTAAGAAAATGATGAATATTTACAAGATAAAATTACTGATCACAAGTGACGTGAAAAAAGTGGATCTTGGTAATGTCACTGCAATGTGGTGTAAGACAACTCTCCCTATTGTTCAACACACAAAATGACATTTACATGATTTTCCACAATTACTTACTGGGCCCTGTACCGTGTGAAAAAAAAGAAGTTTACACTCAGAATATCCCAAATAATTTAGTATCATTTGTTTGTGGTATGTGTTTATGCTTGGATGAACAGGAGACATTGTTTAAGAGAGTGCAAAAATCTGTATCCAGACACCTACCCCCTGAACATCCACCCCCAGTCAACTACCCGCTAGGACAAATACCCGCTAGGAAAACTACCCCCTAGGACAACTATCCCCTAGGACAACTACCCCCTAGGGCAACCACCCTCTACGACGACTACCCCCCAGACAACTACCCCCCCCCCCCCCGGATAACTACCCCCAGACAACTACCCCCTACGACAACCATCCTCTAGGACACCTACCCCCCAGACAACTATCCTAGGGGGTAGTTGTCTGGGGGGTATTTGTCCGGGGGGGGGGGGGGGGTAGTCGTCCTAGAGGGTGGTAGCCCTAGGGGGTAGTTGTCTTAGGGGGTAGTTGGCCTAGCAGGTAGTTGACTGGGGGTGGATGTTCAGGGGGTAGGTGTCCGGATACAGATTTTTGCACTTTCTTTTAGCACTCTAGGTATAAAACTTTTTTGGACTCGCACTGTATAATAAAGAGTTACGATTGATTTTGTAACACAGAGCCCTGAGAAGGATAATTTTGTTTTGGAGGACCTACAACAATGTACAATCAATGAAAACGCCTTGACATGACATTGTTTTGGCTTTAAAGAAGATGGTGTTCACCTACCAGACAAGGTCAAGTAAACCTCCTTGCTTGGCTATCGCTGCTTTTACCCTGTTAGCAAAGTCAACTGCAGACTCGTCCACCTGCACAAATATATCAAATGACAAAACACATAAAAATTAGTTCAGTACTTAAACACCTACCCCCAAAAAACAAAGAACACACAAACAATAATAACTTCATTTTCCACTGCAGCTTGTTATCTTGCACATTAAATAAAAGATGAAACAAGCACAAAATGATTTTTTTTTTTTCAATTACCCCCCCCCCCCCCCCCCCCCCCCCCCCCCCCCTCCCCAATTAAAACCCACCCCAATCATAACAAAACTGAAACAAACATGAAAATGAAGAAAAACAATTAATTAGACTCATTCTCCTCCATGCAAATAAAAGACAAATTCAGAATTAAATTAAATTCTACACTCAACATCCCCCTAAAGAACAATAACACATACAAGAAACTATAAAATGTACTTCACTGTGCCCTAAGAATTTGATATCATGTGAAATTTGCCCCTTACAAATCATACATTAAAGGTAAAGACCAGTTTTGGAAACGCCCCCTCTCAAAAATGAAATGGAATCTCTCATTACCAATCATGTGAAAGAATATGTGATGATACAAATTTTGTTGAGAAACAGCCTACTAATTGATATATTGGGTAAATTAGTATATCTATTTGGACCTGATAGATAGCATGCACGTAGTCCCATATACATCTTTCTGTGTAAAGTGCTTGTAACTTTACCAAGACTGGGCCAAATTTCTTATCATCTTGATGATTCCAGAACCTTGCAGTACACACCAATACTTATATGCTAGATGATCAACATTTTCTGATCGATTCCACGTTTCTTTCACAATGCACTTGCATGACCAGAACTGGTCTTTATCTTTAAGGGGAGGGGGTAAAAGCAGTAACCACCCCTCCTCAAGGGTAAGACAACCAACATATCTCACCCTTTTTAAGGTTCAAGAGGAAATTATCCAGTTTAAAACATGTAACAGACAAGGGCCCATATTCATGAAATTTTAATAATAAATAATAATAATTATAGGCATTTCTATAGCCTCGTCTATCTAGAAATTCTATTCCGAGGCGCATTAATTATCACCCCGGCTTTAACCTAGCTGCCATTACAGCGCTCCAGTATTTCAAGGAATTAATTTCTGCCAGGTACCCATTTATCTCACATGGGTCAAGTGTGGCAAATGAAGATTAATGCCTTGCCAAGGGACATTATAGCCGTGCGGGGATCGAACCATGACCTCTGAATTTCAAGTCAAGTGCTTAAATCACTCGACTACGACACTACTGTAGGTCTCCTCGTTCATTGACTAAAATCTTAGATGGTTATTTGACATCTATCTAAGAAAAGTTTCCTCAACATGGGCCAAGTTCATTATTAAATAGTTTGACAAATTTGTGCATAAACAATAAATGAAAAGCTAATCTGTCTATGATGCCCAACTTGTAATCATCATCATCAAGAATTGAGAATATAGGCCAAATTCACTAAATCATGGTTTCACAAAATTATTTCATACACTCTATAAAGAAAAGCTGATCACACAATTGAATTCTTGTGAAATTGAGGGGCACATGCACATTATAAATATTTACCCATATTTATGTACATCATTTTCTATTGTTAAATGTTATATTGTATTTTCTATCATTTGTATTTTCAATGTCAAAGAAGCCATTGGAAGCAAAATTTCTATGTAATGTTTGCAATTCATGCATGGACCAATAAAATAATCTTGAATCTTGAATCTTGAATATATATTCCACTTACTAATCTATCCATTGGCGGTAGGTACCAAACGTCAACAACCAGCGCCCAACTGGTCATCATCATCAGCAAGTAGCGCACCATGGAGTATCGAGAGCTGTTCCAGAAAGCATCGCCGAAGCGAGGATCATACTGCAATCAGAAAACAATGGACACACATTAATCTTTAAGCTGCCAATTTGTTTGAAAACAAACATTAACATGATTTCATGCAGGGGTGATAGTGAGCACTAAAAAAAAAAAATCCCCTCAACCACACCCCCCTTGAGTAAAAAAAATAGATGATTCGGGGGGAAAAAATGGCATCTAACAACACCCCCCCCCCCCTTTTGAGTAAGAAAATTGGGAAAATATAGGGGTAACATCGGGAAGAAAAAAAAATTGGAAAAAATTGGAGAAAAAAAATAATCAGGAAACCGATTTAAATTGGGTAATTATTAGGCTGATCATGAGAATTTTTTTTAAATCATGGTGCCTCTTTTTCATTGTTTATCTGGATAGAAATATTGTTCCATGATATTGAACTCCACAATGTATGAGCCAATGTTGAAATTTAAATAGAAAACAATGGATGGTTGATGATTGGTTTTACCCGACTGCTAAGAAAGCATGTATATGCTAGTAAGTAAGCAACCAGGGGATCGACGGCTTTGAGTCCTCTCCGAGGGACTTGGTAACGAGGACTGATGTCAAATCAAAGGGCACGAGTGCATTGAATTGGTTTTGAGCCCAGGACCTCTCGTTTAGGAGACCACTGCACTACCACTAAGCCATTGCGCCTTCTCCAATGCCCTTTTCTTTTCCAAATTAGAAGATTAAATACCAACATCCAAGTGTTTCAAATCACCAACAGCAGTAGCAAAGTTGAGAATATTGACTTCATATCAATCCACCTACCTTACAAAATTTGTAACATGATATCTGGAATTTTAATATTTAATTCATTAATGTTGTCCATTAATTTGAGAGACATGCAAATATATATCCAATCCTACACATTCCTCATTCCTACACATTTTAGAACAATTGATACAGGTTAAAATGATGTAAACACCTGCAAGTAAATCTGATGATTTACGTTTTTTATCACATACAACAATATATTATAAGCTTATTTTAATTAATTTGATAATGTGTAATAATTTGATCGTAGCACATTGTTATTCATATGTTCATGTATCAGTCTCTACAGTTTCTTTGACTTTGTGTACATTATTTATACCATTGTTATGTATCTGTTTGTATTTTTTTCATTTGTATTTGAAATCCAACCTCTAATTTTGGTTGCAATGAAGAAATAATTCTAATAATAGTAAATAAGTAAATAAGAATACCTCACAATGTATCTTATGTTCATCACTTGTATACTGTTTCTTAATGAGAATGCTGGCATTTCTTTAGACACATGAAACCACTTATTCAAACCAAACAGTGCAGTGGGGCCTCATTTTGCCAAACTCTTTCCACCTCCATAGACTTCATACTGAAAGTGTTTTTTTTGTTTGTTTCACAACATACAGGGGTGATAGTGAGCACTAAAAAAGAAGGGGGGGGGGGTTCCCCCCTCAACCACGCCCCCCTTGAGTAAAAAAAGAAAAGAGGATTCAGGGGGGAAAATGGCATCTAACAACATTTGAGTAAGAAACATTGAGAATAATTTTTTTTTTTAAATAGCAACAGTACCTTTATTGCAGCTGGGTATATCCTGCCTCCGATTTCAAAGCTGCCTTTCTTGAACATCATAACTGATGTGTTGTTGATACATGTTCCTGTTTTTTTTAAAGAGAAGGGGAGAAAGGGGGTGGGGGGGGGGGTCAGTATAAAGTAGCAGTGTGAAATGCATGAATAATAACAAGAGGAATATGTATGTCATTTCATCATACTTCCAATATTATTGTGTTTTTATTCAAGTTGATGTTTTGCATTTGTTAGTGGAAGCTACAAATTCAGGCCAAGTATTTCAATAATTGGGGAATGATTTAAGGGCAAACTGATACATCCACATCTCCTATAATAAAAAGGCAAGAACATGAACATCAAACCACCTTATTTTCATTCAAAAAATAATTTCAATATCAAATCGTTTGTCAATATATCTTTATTTCTCGAGATGTTTCAACTTGTTTATGCTGGAAGAAATGATTGAGTATTTTGATGCCCCCATTGCTTAAGATCAAGATATCCTGAACACACACACACACAGAACTTTAAAATACTATGTCCATTTTGCAGCCAACATCAAATTCTGTAGAACTTTGCAGGAATTATGAATATGTCATGTTTGTCCCATCTGTGAAATTTAAACATTAGCAGTGTCCTAGTATTCAAATTATGCAAGGAAATCTGTTTACCTTCTAGACTTCACTGTCGGACACCGGACACCATTGAGTGACTGACTGACATATTTTACTTTTTTTTGTAATAACATGTATAAAGTAAAATGAGCTGTAACAGGTACATGAGCATTTGTCTACATCAATAACCCACTAATTGTAAAATTTGCTAAAATTTAAATGATTGAATCTTTGTGCAGCACAAAACATATGACTATTCGATAAAAGAGTCTGGAAATCAGACTATTACCTAGGTGATAGCAATCACTTAAGTTGATTTGACAACTAATGGTCGTTATTTTCCCACTAAACGCTATTTTCAAGCCCTTTCATTTTAAGGGAAGTTCTAAATTAGTATTGTCTTTCAAATGCTGTTGGGAATTTGACCTTTTCATTTTTTTGGCCTGCAAATGGAACATCGTACCTTTAATACAAATAAAAATCACTCTGAATAGAGAGCTAAATCCTGAAGAGTTGTAAGGTGTTACATCAACTTTACCTTCTGGGAAAATCAGCATTGGCATTTTGGAAGCATCTTCTACATGTTCTTTTAACCTGTATGATATACGAAAAAACGCAACATGTTTACCAAATCAGGATACATTGAATTTTGTTTAAAATAATTTATTTGTCTGTTTTACAGAGGGTGGTCTGGTCTGTGATTTTGACATTGTTATCCTCTAAGGTCCTGCACACGTAAATGCATGAAATGTAACATAATACATGAATAATAAGAAAATGATACATCAACAATTTTAAACATTATCATAACTGAACATTACAAGAGAATAACGTGTTACCTGGCAGGAATTAATTCTTTGAAATGCTAGAGCGCCGTAATGGCAGCACAGCTAAAGCCGGGGTAATAATCTCGAAGTTTGGAAGCGTTTAGTGATAATCTAATAAGTGCTATATAAAAACTGAGTATTCTTATTATTATTGTTAACATCAGAATAGACACAAGGAAACAAAGTAGAGCAGAACATTTCAAGGAGCAACACACAGAGGGTACTCTCACTGGTACACATAGTTGGATAGCAAAAGGGAATGAACTGGGGTCTACCCACAATGCAAACTACAGTCAAACCTGTCCATAGCGACCTCCCAAGGGAAACACAAAAAGTGGCCTTTGTAGACAGGTTCCTTTAGTACATGATTCAATGAGAATCCATTTTCAAGGGAAACAACAAATGTGGCCTTTGTAGACAGGTGGTCACTCAAGCAGGTTGGACTGTACTTCAATATTCAAGTTGGGTTGTTACTAATTGTGATCTAGAATGCTCTTTCGGAAAATGAAGAAAAAATTGAGAAATTCTTAAAATAGATTTTTGATGACGTCACACTTCACCACTCTATAAATTATTAAAAGTAACAAATCTTTGAGATTATACTCACGTTTGGGTAACATTTTTCCTGTCCCTCATCTCTGATCTCTCAAACCAGATGTGATCCATCCCAGACCAGCTCATGGCTTGCTGGATGATGCCTAAGAACTTGGTATGCTTCTGACCAATCTGCAGGCAGAGGGTAGAATTCATTTGTTTAAATCGTTCGTTCGTTCGTTCGTGTCTCCTTAGGTCAAGATTAGTATCTTGATCATCGGAATAGTTGCTACAACGGGCCGTGTCAGACACGTTGCCCCGGGGTGCGAGATAGGACTCTTGTAGCATGCCCCCACTTAACACAATTATACAATAACAACTAACATTACATTTAATTAAAAGAATGAAGCGATTAGTATTACTCTCATGTTATGGGGAAAAAATATTATATATATATATATATATATATTATGACTTAATTGATGTGGTCGATCCAGGTAGATGGCACAAACACGACACTACTGGACAGAGATCCTAATAATTACAGAGCTTGGTCTTGTTGCTCTGTTCGCCAGCAGTTTGAGGATATGGAATCCCGCTGTACATAACTCACAAGAGTTCTAAGAATGAGTTTTAAATAATGGTATATTTATTCAAAATCTGTCTCACAGCCTAGGCTAAATCGTACATTTATTCAAACAAATAAAAACATAAATGCATATAACAACACAAGAACAGGGCGTACAGACGTACGGAGGTACGGACGGACAACCAGAAAACATAATGCCTCCGGCTACTTTCTAGCGGAGGCATAAAAAAGCACTTAACAAAGATTTGTACATTAAACTTGATTGCATTATGAAAATGGTATATTGAAGACCCTTACAAAAGCATAGCAGTTGTCACTTGATAATATGAGGACATCTATTGGTGAGGTGTGATTGGCCACGCAGATTCCTCCTCCCTTGGCTCGATTATCCCTGCAATAAATAGATTGAACGAGAGAGTCAATTCGGGTTATTGAATGAAATAAGGATAATACAGTGAAACCTGTCTATAAAGACCACCCAAGGGAGACAAGAAAAACATTCTTTATAGGAAGGTGGTCTTTATGTACAGGTTCTATCTATAGTACATGTTTCAATGAGAAACCACTGTAAAGGGAAACAAAAAAATGCGGTCTTTGTAGACAGGTGGTCACTAAAGCAGGTTTGACTGTAGTATATTCATAATGTGCAGAAATATATTGCATTGCAAGACCTCCTAGTATGTTTAAATCTATTATGAACAGTATACCTGTACATAAAAAAAAAGTGCTCATGTTTTTTTCCTTCTAAATTTAAAAGTATTTAATGGTTCCTATTTCCCCATTTCTAATTCTAAGTCATTCCAAAAGTTGAAGGCTGCAGATACAAATGCTTGATATTCTGATGTTATTTTTTTTTGATGTGATGGGGTGTGCAAGAGTAGAGAACATGTATTTTGGGAACTGCACAGGTTGTGGGTAAATCGTAAGAGCAGTCTGTATCGGTATTCTATCGTTCCAGAATATGGATCTACTGATCCCAGTTTGAATTTCAGCCACTGTACAAATGTTGATTGGCAAGACATTAATCTTTAATTGATTCTCTCTTACGAGAAAAAATACATCTAAACCTGTCTTCACATGTCTGCTTGTACATGTCCATGAGTATATGCAATTATAGCACTTTTTGATGACATGCGCATACTATTTTGTGATGTAACATCTTACAGGTATACTCGATTTCGACGAAAATGGTATCAAAATGTGCTTAAGACTCGAGGGAAAAAAGTCATGAAACGACAATTTAAAATTCCAAGCGGTTGCGTCGCAATCTCCAAAAAGGGAGGTCCCCCCTCTCCCCAGAACAGTAAGGGTTAAAGGCCTTACGGCAGCTTGGCTAAACCCAGTATATGAATACTTTGTAGGCACCTGTATCATCCCCTGGGATAGATATGCATACACTATAAATGTAGCTGTTATTATGATCATTATGATGATGACGATGATGATAATGATGATGATGATGGTAATGGTAATGATGATGATGATGATGGTAATGATGATGATGATGATGATGATGATGACATAACTGATGATGGTGATGATGTTGATGATGATGATGATGATGATAATTAGGATGATTATGATAATGAATTTGATGATGATGATGATGATGATGATGATGATGATGATGATGATGAATACTATCATTTGATACATCTGATAAAAATTATTATCAATAACAAATGCAAAATTTCTACGACAAATTTGCTCTCAGCCAATCAAATGCCACAATTTTAGTAGCTTTTAAACAGTTATTGTAACTTTTTTTTATATTGATAACAAGTTTTATGAAAAAGATACACCAGGGACCCGTTTCAAAAAGCCTTTTTTCAATGACAAATGACAAAAATCAGTGACAAATCTGCTGATAATCAATCAGAAGCAAGGATTTCAGTAGCTTTTAACAAAAATTGTAATTTGTCACTGATGACAAGTTTTGTGAAATGCCCCCCCCCCCCAGAACCTTACTTGTTATGATAGGTGATGAGAGCAGAGAAACTCCTACATGCTATCCTGTACACAGTCAAGCTGATGTACTTGTTCAGAACTTTCTTGATTCTGTGGAAGAAAGCAATATAGAACTTCAGTCAATTCAATCAAAGCTTACACATAAATATATATGTATATCGTCTGTGTGGAGCCAGAAGGGTGTTAGCTCTGTGTAAGATTATGAGAGTTAATGCCATTCTGGCTCCAAGCAGATGTTATAATACAGTTTGCAGGCTAAGTGAATGTAAGTTCAAATGGTTCAACAAAATATGCTCCAGTGACAATTGCTCTGCAGTCGACAGAGTTTCCAATGTCAATCCTAGAAGAAAAAAAATAAAAGTGTGAAAAACCAAAAAACCGGCCTAAAAACCCTCCATCCGGCAGGCGGAGGGCGATGTCTTGTCCAAATAAAGAAGAAAAAGAAAGAAAAAAAAAAAGAAAAAAAGAAACAGGTTAGTGTTACACTCTGTAACAATTGCTCTGCAGTCTACAGAGTTCCCAATATCAAACCTGGACCAAATAATAAGAATAACAAAATAACTCTAAACTTGAACTTAAAGAGAAGGTGAACAATAATTTGAGAGCGTTTCCATTGTTATTATGCAAGTGTGGAAGAACATCAGCGAGAAAATATTCCCTGAAAAGCATGGCTCTTCAAATGCCTTAATATTCTAAATTATAATATGACATGTAGCAGCTCAAAAGATGAGGACCACATTTTTGTGAAGTCCTGTATACATCTTTCTGTGTATAGTGCATGTTACAAGACTGGGCCAAATTTCATCATTTTGACGATTCCAGGACCTTGCAGTACACACCAATAATATGCTACAGGATCCAACTTTTTCTGATTGATTCCACACCGTTTCTTTCACAATGCAATCACAGGACCAGAATTTAACTTTATCTTTTAAAACCCAAGTGCAGCTCTAACCTTACATCTTTGATGAAATATCTCAAAAAATAGCTCAAAGCAATCTACCATATTGGGCAGCTGTAATTTACCATAAATCCAGATAGACCTTACATTGAGAGTGAATTTTTAAGACCATTTAGTTGTGGATTCTTACTATTGACCAATAGAGTTCCTAAAAGAAATATAGTTAAGTGTAATATTGTTAATTGTTTATAAATCATTGATTGGTCAAGCTCCTAATTACATCCAAGAATTACTTCAACTCAAAGTCCAGTCACACAGTTGTAGCCTGCGCAGTTCCACAGATAAATTATTGTTTCAGATTCCCCATGGCAAAACTAAAGTAACTCTTGGGGACCGTGCTTTTGCTACTGCTGCCCCCAAACAATAGAAATACGAAGCACTCAATCTCTCAATGTTTTCAAATCCAATTTAAAAACTTATTTGTTCAACTGAGAGATCTCTTTTTGTAGAATTTAGTAAAAAGGAGCTCTTAACCAGCGCAGCTGAATATATTTTGTATAAAAGCTGCGCTATATAAATTTATTATTATTATTATTATTATTATAATTCATCAGAGTTTAACAAATTGAACTGGCTTATTCCACTACGGACTGGCTTATTCTAATACAATTAACTTGATTATTCCACTGCAAACTGGCTTCTTTTGCGACAGACTGGCTTATTCCACTTACTTCCAATTTGGAAAGTACCCCAGGAAGGCTCCAGACACCACCAAGTATGTGATAGCTATGGACAGGACTGCCAATCTAAAGGAATTCAAACACAAATCAAGGTATTAGTGCAGTATGGTATGTAATCCTGTAGGATTTTTTTGCAAATTTTATTTGTTTTTGTTGCTGTTTTGGCTTCAAAAGGGTCCCAATCGGCCAAAAATGATGGGGTTGAAATTTTCAGACCCCTCCTTCACTTCCTGGGGGATCCATATTGGGCGCCAAAATGGCTTATATAAAGCGCAATAGGGAAATTTGGTGTCTTCAGGAAAATTTGAACCCCATCAATTTCTGATAGCTTGGACCCCAATGGATCAACAAAAAAAAAAAAAAAAAAAAAAAAAATTGGCACAAAAGTTCCATGGGAGCTGTTTCAGTGACATACCATACCACACTATATTGATAGTGACTATACAGAGTATTTATGAAGCATCTATCAGCAAAGGCGTGTGTTCAAGGTGATAGAAAAATATAGAGTACATATAAGAATGAAGTTTTAGTGTTAAATTCTCAACGATACTTACAACTGTACTGTCAAACAACAAATTTTACAAAATGCTTGAAGCTTCACACATTTTATGAGCGGTTGGGAATCATGAAAATTTCATACCTCAAAATAATTGAATCACAATTGCCCCCCAAAACATCAAAATATGAACTTTTGCAATACATATTAAAGTTTCTGATCAAGGAAATGGCTGTCATCTACGCTTCACAAAATTTATCACCTGTTACATGTATTAAGCGCTATATAAAAGTGGATTATCATTATTATCAAAATGCTGATTCTAATATGTACATGAGAGAAAGTGCACCATATTGGTGTTCTAGGGTACCTATCCTTTACAATAATTGTTCTAGGAGAATCATTTTTGTTGGGGGAGGGGTGCTTTTGGGTTCTTGTATTCACTTTCTACATGTGTCAGAGGGAGGAGAGGCTGAGCCCCCTCTCCCGAGCCCCCTCCCCAAACCTCCTCCCTGAGCCCCCTCCCCAAACCCCTCAATAATCACTACTGATCCTGCAGAGTCCTAGGGTTAGGAATTAAGGTGCTCTCTCTCTCTCTCTCTCTCTCGTTTACATAAGAATCTACACATTCTACAGGATAACCAGAGTGTTGGCTCAGTCAGTAGAGCGTCCGCCTCACAACCGGGAAGTCGTGGGTTCGAACCCCGGCTGCGTCATACCAAAAGACGTTAAAAAACTGGAGTTGTTGCTACCTCGTTCAACATTAAGAGATAGAGCAACGTCGATCTGGCGCTGCTCAGTGGCTGCCGGGCTCACGATCAATTAGGCAAAAAGAATTTCCATTTTGGGTTTAACTTAATAAAATTTGTAGTGGACTTTAAAAGATTATTATTATTATTGTTATTATTATTATTATTATAACTGAAGTTTTCTCCCATACACACCTGAGAGGGAGCAAGAAGCAGTAGCGGAAGACACAGCCAATAAACCAGAGCACTGTCAGACGTACACTGGATGAGGGAGAGACAGAATAACAAGCTCATTGTAAAGATTCAATCAAGTATTTACAATCACTGCAAGAACACAAGTCTATGACTGTTGAAAAGACAGGGGAAAAAAGAGCAACACAGGTTCATTAATATACAAATAGTACACAGCAGTGAAGGCGTTTAGTAAGAATTACCCACACAAAGTACCTTTGGAACAGTCTAACTGTTTTGGACTGTTCTGAAGGTACCGAGTGTGGGTAATTTTACTAATGCCCGAACAAATGATGAGTATTATTTGTTTTATAAGATTATGTTTTATTTGTTTTATAAAATGATGTTTTTTAACATGATTTTACTATTAAAAGACCAATCATTAGAATTGGATAATGACCGGTCATTATCCAATTCTAATGATTGGTCTAGGCAAAATAAAAGCCTGGTCGCGTGTATGGCACGCTTTCAACCAATCATTTGATGAGGATCCACGTCATCATCTTAAATTAATACAACTTACCGGTATTCAATTTGAAATTGTGTTTCACAACACTTTGCATATTAGTACATGCACATATTCAAGGTATGATTTTTGTTTGATTTCCGTCCGTTTAGAGTGGTTTGTGTAGTCTTCATGATAAATATAACATTACAGCTTAGCCTTGCTATTCAGGGGGTGTTTCATAAAGCTGTTCGTAAAGTTACGCATGACTTCACGAACGACTTGTATATGAAAAGCCAAATGGGATGCTTAATCATTATTAAATACATCAACTTAAGTTGAACTGTGCAGATGTAGATTAAAGATAAACTTGAGTTCTGGTTAAATAAAGAAAATCAATTCTCACAGAATCTAACGAAACTTACACTGAATGTTCAAGATTACAAATAAATGTCATGTGCCTAACAATTTTTGAAAGAAAATGTATACTGGCTGAGTAATGAGCATAGAAAGATAAGGAAATCAAGTAGTACTAGCCCCGACACCATTTGTGTTGTCCCATATACATCTTTCTGTGTAGTGTGCTTGTTACTTTACCACGACCGAGCCAAATTTGTTATGAATTTGATGACTCCAGAACCTTGCAGTACACACCAGTACTTACATGCTACATGATCAACTTTTTTCTGATGCATTCCACACCTTTTCTTTTACAATGCAATCGCGTTACCAGAACTCACCTTTATCTTTAACATTCTTATGATTACAAACATTTTTAATGCAAAGTATATTTTTGCCATAATTGAATTGAGGTTATTGAAAATATCAGAAAAAACTTTGGGCACTTCATATACAAGTCATTCATAAAGTCATGCGTAACTTTACGAACAGCTTTATGAAACACCCCCTGATATCACAAGACGAGTATACTACACATGTTAGACAGATTGCCAATGTATTGACGATCGACTGCTAGATACAGTTTACAGTGTACAGTATATATCCTTTGAATGATGCATATCGTCGGGGGGTGACAAAACCTTGTATCTCAATTTTTTGAGATTTTGATTGTTTTGCATAATTTTGTACCTAATGGCCTTCGACACCACCTGATAAATCCATGGAACGCCTCCTGTCTCGGTTTTTCACAAATTCCACACAAACACCCTTAAACTAAACCTCGTAATTTTAACCCCCTTTGAAGCTGCACTGACAAAACCTCGTAACATAAGATACGTAATTCCTTCTTCTTATGCCTTGAAATTTTTTCTAACAATACCTCCTATCTCAATACCAACTTCGACCAAATCCTCATAACTCATTCAGAGTTGAAAGTAAGAACTTGTATCTCAATTTGAATAAAAACTAAAAACTCGTATCTCAATGTAGATAAAAGCAAAAACCTCGATTGTAACTCACATTCAAATATAAAAACAATTATTTTACTGTATTTCAACAATGACATTAAAAATTGTATAAATATTCCAGTGTTAAAAAGATAGGAGAGTGTCACAGCACTAAATTTTTTGAGACAGGAAAGTTTTTTCGGTCTCATGATTTTTGAGATACAAGGTTTTGTCACCCCACCGACCATATGTACAATTGGCCAATGACCTTGACAATGACATTGCAAAATGACATTGACAACGATATTGACAGATGACCTTTGATATCCAAAATACTCTATCCATCCCTCACGCTCTCTCTCTCTCTTCAAATACCAGATTCACACACACACACACAGCATGATGCATGGCAGTGCCCACATTTGCACTGTAATTTATGTTTACCCTTAAAGGGACTTTGTAACATTGTTTAGATGAGAGAAAGTGGTGCTAAGGTAGTGACTTCAATGCTAGATGTACAATTAAAGATAATCTGAAAATTTGAGTGAAAACGGATCATTATTCATGGTACAAATTGGGAAAAACTAATCTGATCGATTCCTTAATTCTCCCAACTATATTATTCTACTTCAATTCTGCTACTTGTCAAAGCCTGTTCAGCATCAAGACAAGGACAATTTAATTACATTTTAGGTGAATGTAAATTGTCACAAAGCAATAAAATGGCTCTACATGTACATTCCATTCCAGACAGTTAAGTGTTGACAGATTTTTATAGCCTGTTTTATGTATTTTTCTCATGGAAAAACGGTTGGGAAAATTCAAAAATGGTTGGGAGAATTTACTGTTAATCACTGTTAGAGGGTGTTGCACAATGACGCCTTCAAAGAAAACCATAGATATCTTTGTGGTTTGAGAATTTGTTCAGGATTTGTTGCATGTCAGAGGGTTAGTATAGTAGAAGGAATATAGTAAGTAGCATTTTATACAAAAATTAAGCAATTTTTTTCATCAACCTTCAACAATGTTACCGAGTCACTTTAATACAACTGTACATACTGTATGTAGGTGTCCCTGCCTCATTCCAGGAGCTTCATGCATTATTTATACAAGAGGACCTGGATTTATCATAAGCACTAGCTGACATTGGGCATATCATGCAAACACGCTCAATGCAAATATAGATCACAAGGGCAACGCAAGACATGCTCTCTTATTTACAATCAAACATGGAATAGTTAACCTAGATGTGTTGCCCACACATATGGCATTTGTAATGAAATAAACCAGTTCACGTACTGTTGCAGCCTGAGCATGCATGAGCAGTTAAAGGTTATTGCAGACCAAAGTGTGAAATACACGGAGACAAAATACTGGATACGTGCTCATGAAAGTTATGCAATCATTACTCATTAATGCACAAGCAGTGCACTCCAAGATACACATTCTTTGAAAAGGGGAAACAAAGGCTACAATGTATTATGTAGCACCTCCATCACTGTAGAAGTAATTATTTCAAAATGTACAAAGTGGGACCTCTTCATGTTTTGAAGATCTGTGGATATTCAGGGTCATTTGGGACATGTGCTAACCGTGAACTGGGGGGTGTTTCACAAAGATCCTAAGTTGAACTTATCTCTAAGTTGGACTTACAAATTATGGAAAGCCGTTCGCATATTTGAAAATATTTTGTAGAAGTTATTTGAAAATATTTTGTAGAAGTTATTTTTAAAAGGCATAAAATGTTAATTCAAATCATTCATATTTTCTATTATCAAGGAAATTTCATGTTCTTGATGTGTAATTTATGAAAAGTCTAAAATACTTGAATTTTGTATTTGAATATATTTTATTTTAAGGCTACAAATGGCTCTCCATAATATTTAAGTCCAACTTAGAGTTAAGTTCAACTTAGGATCTTTGTGAAACACCCTCCTGGTCTATTTATGTGGGCCAGATAAAATTAAGCCTCTTTGTATGAGACTCTGGACTTTTTATTCAGCATGTTTTTATTTACAATAAAGCAGAATTGAATTGAATTGAATTGAATTTCATGCATGACTTTGTATAAAAACACCTTTAAATGAAAGCACAACTTACACCTGCACAGTGTGGGAGGAAGGTCAAACAGATGCATTATGCAGTGTGTGCTTAATAGGTTTATTATTAAGAGAAACAAAGACAAATGATTCATTTGATATACAGGATAATTGCATATATTGATATATATTGCATTTGATACATTTGGTACAAATAAGATAGTTTCATGTTTCAGTCTGTGTACTATTGTATTTGAAGTTATTAACGATTTACTTAGGATCCTTACCATTTGCTTCTTTGTTAAATGTTTTTACAGAGCAATGAAGAGCCACGGAAGATAGGAGGCACGATAGCTCAGTCGGTAGAGCAGTGGTCTCGTAATCTGGCGACCCGGGTTCGAAACCAAGTCGATGCGCTAGTGCCCTTTGGTAACTGAAGGCATTAATCCTCATTACCAGGTCCCTCGGAGAGGACCTAAAGCCGTCGGCCGTCTGGTTGCTTACTTACATGTACAAGCATTTGTGCTTTCTTGGCTGTCAATTAAAATAACCACCACCATCATTCATATGTCATAGGCTACAGAAAATAAAGCAACTTCCTGTAACAACCAACAGATCTTTGAATTCTTTGAACAATAATACACTATTATTATTATTATTATTATTCAATAGAAACCAAGAGAGCAATCAATGCCCTAGAACTCAAAGTTTTTCTTACCTTAAATACTGGTATCTCATACTTGTTCTGGTCAAGAGGTTCCAGGAACCCAATTCTAGAAAATTCATGGAAGAAAGAGAAAAAATAAAATACTGCGCTACTCCTATTTGTGCACACAAGTTCCTGTAAAACTGCTCAGGGAAAGCAAGAAATTTGGCATTAGGCTACAGGGCTGAAACTGAGACTGAAACTCTTTTCCCACTATGGTTGACCTTCTTAACTGGCAACAGACTGTTTAAGCCAACATTTGGTACACGTGCCATCTCTATGAAACATATGCAGGTACTTAAATCTGAGACAGTATTCAATTCAAAACTTATTTCTTACTCAATGCTAAGTTGCTAACTATCGAATTGAATACCGGTCCTGGTGTCGACCCCCTCCCCCATTTAATTCTAGATTCTCTATAAATAAAACAAAAGTCAGTGTTTTCTGTAATAAAAATTTTGTACATGTTTGTAGGTGATTTTCATTTTGACGATTCCCTTTGATGCAGGACTCAATAAGCAGTAATGTTTCGTAGAATCGATAAGTATCTAAAATAAGGTTTTAATAGAGGTAATTGCTAGAATTTTTTTTGTTATAATACATGTAACACCTACCCTCAGCAGAGAATCTTTTTGTAACTTCATCATCACAGATTGCCTACAAACATGAAAGAAAAAAAAGCAAGACTTTAATGAGGATGTACATGTAAATAATAATAATAATAATCTTTTAAAGTCCACTCCAAATTTTATTAAGTTAAACCGAAAATGGAAATTCTTTTTGCCCAATTGATCGTGAGCCTGGCAGCCACTGAGCAGCGCCATATCGACGTTGCTCTATCCCTTATTGTTGAACGCCAAACAAGGTAGCAGCAACTCCTGTCTTTTAACGTCTTTTGGTATGACGCGGCCGGGGTTCGAACCCACGACCTCCCGGTTGTGAGGCGGACGCTCTACTGACTGAGCCAACACACCGGTATGATGCATATCAGATGATTTTAAAACACCATGCAGGTTTAATGTTCATGAATAAACTCATATCTGTATTTGTCAAAAGCTGTAGGATGCAGAATATATTACAAATTTATAAAAACACAAACCTTGCGTGTACCGACTGTCATTTAGACAAATCAACAAAATTCTATTCCTGCACATTTACTCTTTTATGGCCTTTCTATGGATATTATCATGCAAAATAGAGCATAGGTAAACTAAAACAGAAACAAAATTACTTGTTATCTATTACACAAATCACAACAAGTATGATAAAAAACACACAGGAAAAAAAATCCAGTTGCAAAATAAGATACAAGCTGTGCATGTCATAGGTAACAGACCTACAATGTAATTTCCATAATGACTTACATGTAGAAAATTGCATCAACCGACTATGCAATATGTTTCTTACAAGCTCACTTTCATTTTGAAGATCCTCACAATTTTCACATTCCTTTAAATGCAATCATCCCAGCCAAGAAGCACGAAACAGGAAATTAATGTATGAAACAATCATTTTTCAATTCTCTTCTACACATGTTGTTCCACTCATTCCTTAACTTGCAAACTAATTAGGTCCCTTGCGTAGCCCCATACAATATGTATACAGGCAATGGGTATTGTATGCAGAAGATCTATAAACAAGACTTCAAGAGCCAAAGAATTGGCATGAAAAATGTATGTTTCTTAAATACTATTCACCTCCAGAGTTTGAGATCTTACAGGAGAGTTAGAACAATCTACACAGGATATGTAATATGCTGAAGCTATGAATGCTCAGAAGAGTAGAAGAAAAGTGGAAAATCTTGGCGCTTGGCAATTGTCAGAGGAACAATTGTTGTACAACCATGTTCAGGCTAATCACTGAAATACATGTACATGTATTTTCTGGCTCTGTAAATTGGGTACAGAGCCAAAATGGAATTTAATTCAAAATGAATACAGTGCTGCTTTTTTTCTTCCTTATACTGCTCATAGTGCTTCCAAGACGAATCAACTTCATAAAAAGATACGGGAAGACAGAAAAATTAGAGAAACAAGTTTGTGCAAGTTTGACAGAAATTGGACATATATAAGGCCTAAAAAAAGAAGATGTTGTATTGCCCTTTGCGACTGACCCCAAAATCTTGAAATCTACGGTCGGGTTTTAAAAAAATGTATTAAAGCATTCAAAACTGAAAAATATCACCCCAAAGAGGGAGTACAAAATTATAAAAAAAGTATAACAAAACAAAAAAAGATTTCTGACCAACCATGTTTTGGCACCTAAAGGGCAATACAACATCTTTTTTTTTAGGCCTAACAAATGATGTAGCAATCAGTCAGATCACTACACATATAAAATCAATCTAAATCTCCAATTAGCAAATTGGTCGTTGGCTGATCCGTTTGTTGTACAGTGAAATTTCATGAATTTCAATTTCTCTTGTAGTAGGTGTACAATTTTAAAAGAAAGTATTAAGTGATAGGCAAGATAAAGAAAAAAGTTATTGCTAAAATGTAAACCTTCACGCCCTTGCCAAAATTAAGTGTTGCGTCAGTTGTGACTCAATAATTCTGCAGCAGGAAACTATCTACATCCTAAGACCACTGGTAAAATTTGTGAATATTTCATGCCCGTGAAAATGTACGCTTTTAAAGTAAGTGAGCGTACCTCAACACCTTTCTTGCAGAAATAGCAGACATCTGAAAGCTCAAATTCTCTCCTGAATGTATCAAAGGACCTGTTGTAACGCAGTCCCTGAGCCTCAGCCTTGATTCCATCAGCCAGGTGCCTGGGAGAGTCCTTGTGAATTAAACTGGTCCCTGGGAAAAGGTCAAAGATCAGAGAGGTGAACAATATTAATCAGTGAAGATGAGTGGCCCTGTGGGGGAGGGGGAGGGGAGGGGGGGGGGGTGAGCAGAGCATATCAGTGAGCACTTCAGCTCTGGAAGGTTCTAAAAGAGTTCTTTGGGGGGAGGGGGGGGGAACAGCTCTGGTAAAAGGTACTGTACATTTGCACAGCTACAAATCCGAAAAGAGTCGTTATAAACATAAAAGCAGTTACACTGCAACCTACATGTATACAAGTTTAATAAATTATTAGTTTAATTATAGAATGATTTAATGATTTTATCTTCATATGCATGTCTTTTATCATTTTCAATACATACTCAGACCTGCCAACCTCTGGAGTTCAAAAACTGTATTCTTCAATCCCAAGAGTTGTATTTTACTGACAAAAGTTGTATTCTCAAAAATAAACACGGACTGTTACCGGTACATGGATCAATGCCTCTTACACTTCCTACATACAGGAAGAATTTTTTATCGATCATTGGTTGAATATGCATGATTTCGTCACAACTGGTGTGTTCGATGAACCAATGAACATTACCAAATTGCCGATATGAGATGCTTGTAGGATACTTACAGGACAGAATGGGCATTTTGCTATTGAAAATGGCACACACACAAACAATAAATACAACTCTTTTTTTTTTTAATTAAATTTTTTTAAACAAATTTTTTGTTTGTTTTTTTGATGTTGTTGGAAAATCATATTTGCTTCTAAAAATCGTACGAAATATGACTAAATCGTACTGGTTGGCAGGTCTGCATACTACACAGAATATGTACATGTACAGGCTCATTCTAAATTGACATCTGTATTAAATTGTTTACCTATATGTATTAAACCTGAGTCAAAACGTTTAACCGACGGATAAACGACCGCATTCATCAAAACCGTTAAGCATTTCTTGCTCCGTTTAAACCGTTATTTTCGTGCAGTTTGTTACATGTGTATTTTTTTTGTTGTTGAGACTTTATTGCTGATACAAAACTCCTAAATTAATAATTATTGACGAGACTTTGTTGCCCGTATGGAGATCTAAAAGCAATAATTATTGGCAAGACTTTGTTGCCGAAACGGAGAATGGAAAACAATATATTGGTGAGACTTCATTGTCAATACGGAACTCCTAAATTAATAACTATTGCCGGGACTTCATTGCCGATAGATACAGAGATCTGAAAACATTATATTATGTCTTCATCGAAATGACTGAATACTTGAGAATTTACACACATGTAAAAATATGTGTATTTTCAAAACGGTTAAACGAAACCGCCCGTATACATTTAACGGTTAAACGTTTACAAAAACCGTAATGACTCATGCTTACTCTGTATTTAAATGAACACAGCGACCTTCACAATAATACAGGTCAAAAGTTACATGGAAGATGTCCTTTAAATCCCTTTATCAATCAGTTGGGCAAACACTTATATCATCTACACTTCAATTACATGTACAGTAGTAGGGTTAAAGTCAACTTTATCTATTTTGTTGATACAGTTGATGATACACGTACAAAGTAGCCTACAATGCAGTACAAGGTTCATTGACATTTACATGTACATGTATTTGGACACATATTCACTAAAAAATCTAGTTGCATGGCTTTTCTCACATACCAGTACAGGTAGCATAAATCTACTATTTTTAAAAACAGCGCCAAGATGGAATAAAATGGCAGAAAGGCTTGAAATGGGATTCTTCATGATGTCTGTAATGTCCATGATCATGTACAATGTAAAGCTCTGTGGTACCAAGGTTCAAAATACACAAAATTGTTCACCAAACGTCTCAATAAAATCATTTAAAAGGAAATACTATACATGCATGTACATGTAAATGCCCACTGTGAACAGGTGGTCCATTTGAGAGGATTTCAGTCCCCCGCCCCTACCCCATCCCCTCTCCATATTCATGTAGTCCGTCAAAAAGTGTAAAATTGTAAATGAAATATTCTCATTAGGCCTGAGTCAGTACAGTCAGTCACACTGAATCCTGACCGTTGGGTCCCGGTTTCGTTTTTTGGAAACCAAACACTCCGATAAAAATAATGAAATATTATATGTAAGAAATTGCAGTATTGCACACCACTAAAATTTATCAACCTTAAAACTTAAAGGGCAAGTCCACTCCAAAAATAACTTACATGCGATAGAAGCAGAAAAATATATATCTTTAAAATAAGAGAAAATATTTATTTTTCTTTAAAAAATTTTGATCGGTATGTTGTAAAGAAGAATTTTTTAGAAAGCTGTTTTATTAATTTAACATTAATGTTTTTTAAACCTGATTTATTCATCCTGCATGAATCAAAATGGCGGCTCCAATGTTGTCTTTCTATTTTTGCCCCTGTTTTTTCACTTTTAATTGCATTTAACATCGCCAATCATGGTAGAAAATAATGTCAAATGGGAGAATATACCGATCTGAGCCGAGGTATGCATACTCACGTACAATGTATGTTGATTTATTTGATTGATAAAAAAGGTCACTTTTGAGGGGCATACTGATTTACAGAGGCAAGTGACAGATCCTGCTAGCTGATTTTGGGACACCGGTTCCCGTTCAGTGCAAGGCCGTCGGGACCCGGTTTATAAAAGTCCCGACATGACTCCGGCCTTATTCCCACATGGCTGCACTTTTCATTTCATTTACATGTTAAGGTACATGTATATGTAGAATTAAACAAGTAAACAGAACAAAAGACATGCAAAGATTGAGTGAATGTACAAATACTATAAAGAAAAATGAAAATATGACTAATTATTGATTGAATTGGTTTATTGTCCCTTTAAAACACTGACCATGCAGTTAAAGGGCTGAAACTCTTCAATTTTAAAAGTAAAATAAACCCAAAATCATGATAAACATGAAGAAGAACCAATTATCCATCATGATTGTTGAAATAAACATTTTCACTTGTTTACATGTATGTGTCAGTATACATGTACAGTACATGTACATGTACATGTATATGTTGCATATTTTTGCATTTATGTGTGCCTCTTAATACTAAACACCATCGGCCTACATGTACACTGTATATGACTACTACCTGTACATGTAGTACTGGATATGATCAGGGTGCCAATGGACATGACATTGTGACTGACTTTGAAGGACATCACAATGTGACTGACTTTGAAGGATGTGACTGACTACATTCAAACTTGGGGGTGTTTCACAAAGATCCGAAGTTGAACTTATCTCTAAGTTGGACTTAAAAATTATGGAAAGCCGTTAGCGTCTATGAAATTATTTTGTAAAAGTTTTTTGTACAGGCATAAAATGTTGATTCAAATCATTCTTATTAATGTATTATCAAGGAGATTTCATGTTCTTGATGTGGAATTTATCCAACGTCTAAAATACTTGAATTTTCGCTTTCGAATATATTTTATTTTAAAGCTACAAATGCCTCTCCATAATAATCAAGTCTAACTTAGAGATAAGTTCGACTGGGGATCTTTGTGAAACACCCCCCTGGTTCATGATGTGAGTGACAGTTCACAAATTCTTCCCTGGTATTTAACGCAACGTCTGACACTCATTGGCACTGGACGCACAAATTGTGTGAACACATGTCATTCACAGAGAGAGAGAGGGGAGAAAAGAAAGATAGAAAAAAAGAGAGAGAGAGAGAGAGAGAGAGAGCAAAAGAGAGAGAGAGGGAGAAAGAGAGAGAAAGAGAGAGCGAGAAAGAGAGAGAGAGAGAAAAGAGAGAAAAGAGAGAAGAGAGAGAAGAGAGAGAGAGAGAGCAAGAGAGAGAAAGAGAGAGAGAGAGAGAGAGAGAGAGAGAAAAAGAGAGAAGACAGAGAGGAAAGAGATAGCAAGGTCACAACATACATGTATATAAAATATTGACAAAATATTGACTTAATATTTCAGCATATTTTAAAACCATTGTGTCTACACGTACATACATGTACATGTAAGCAGCAAACTCAGTATCCATTGATAATGGCAAGTTTAAAGCTGTATGGCAAGTTAAAGCTGTACATCAGCATAAATATTCACTGTCAAACGGCCTTGTTGCCTTTTGGGTTTTATAATTTAGGCCTACTGTATGACAGTTACATCACTTGTAATGTATACACCTCCTTCATCGTTACACAGGGCTTTCACTGAACTTCATTCTTGGTTGCCAGCCGGGCTCCAGTTTTTTAGGTTGCCAAATGGCAGTTTAGGTGGTCACAGTGAACAGTTGAAAAGATACAGAAATAATTATTTCGGGGGCTCCATATCCAATTTTTTGAAATTTTTCGGGGGCTCCTTTTTCTATTTCGGGGGCTACTCTTTCCAAGGGCTAATTTTTTCCTTACGTCATAAAAGGATACAATTTATTAAGTTTATACAGTAGGCTTACTGGCTTATATATCTTTGATGAAGGTTTCACGCTACGTGCTTCTTATTTAATACCAGTTAATTACCCATTCAAAAAAAAAGAATTTATCTAGTTACATGTAAATAAATAAGTTTCAACGCATTGAATAGATGAGTCATACTATGGACTGTGTTTAAACTACCATCTGATTTTCTTGTGAAAAATTCACTTTGAAAACTAATTAACAAAATTAAGTATACAGGTGTACATGAATAGATTAATCACAATCTAAGTTTTGATTTCATACCTCCATTCACGGAACTATAATGAAATTTAGGTATTTACTCTAGATTTCTGATTTGGATATTAATAATTTGTATATAGGCGCCTTGAGCATCCTCTGGGATGGATATGAGCGCAATTTAACCCTTTGCTTGTAACGGGAACCTGGGGAGGTGTTTCACAAAGATCCTAAGTAGAACTTAACTCTAAGTTGGACTTAAAAATTATGGACAGCCATTGGAGTCTTAAAATGAAATATATTCAAAAGCAGAAATTCAAGTATTTTAGACTTTTTATAAATTCCACATCCAGAACATGAAATCTCCTTGATGTTAATAGAAAATATGAATGATTTGAATCAACATTTTATGTCTTTTAAAATAACTTTTACAAAATGTTTTCAAAGATGCTAATGGCTTTCCATAATTTTTAAGTCTAACTTAGAGATAAGTTCAACTTAGGATTTTTGTGAAACACCCCCCTGGTGGTCCCTGTGTTAAGCTTATTGGACCTATACAATTCAGTAGTTAACAGGATGAATGTAGTTTGATTGTAAAGCTGTAGATCTACATGTACATGTACAGTGCTTCTCATGTTAAATGGGTACCCAGAAGGATGCGACCGTCATTGTTGGTCACACAGTTTTTGAGCGTCATGTAACGCCTGGCTGGAATGCTCCCCAGAGAGTGGAGATTGTGCACACAGTGTGTGCGGACAAGCACTAAATTCAATGACCGGGATAATAGTATACTTGTAAATCGCTTAGAGACATTGTAAAAGCGCTATACAAAAGTGGAATATTATTATTATATATGATGTAGAATCCATTTGGTCTTACCGTTTTTTGTAAGGCGTGTCTGAGGGGTTTCTTCAGGGAGATCAACTTCTTTCACTTCATCTGGAGGCTCCGAGTGCTTGATGGCCACTTCCAATTTTTGCTTTCCAAACTGCATATAAACCAGAAAAGCATGTTTCAAAGTACAGGTTTACAAGTTACAATTTCCTTCTTCAGCATCATGTTCATGTACTTTTTATTGCAACATAATGTTGGTGTTGTTGGATATCTTCATTTTAACACTTCAAAATTAACATTACCGATAGTCCAATGACCTTACAGTCTTGAGATGAACTTTCCTTCAGTTTATATTCCATTACTTCTATGGTAAAGAAGCCAATATAATTGATAAATGAAATTGTCTTCTTTTCTTGGAGGAGGGGGGAGGGGTGGGCAGAGTTTGATGGAGTTCATTGAAAATTTTATGGAAATATTTCAAAAACTATAAGTAACTTCCAGCTACATGTCACCAACTGATAGGGAGACAAGCTAATTAATCTATACATGTACGCAACAATACATAACAAAATGATTAATTTGATTTTCGTACAAAATTTTGGGGGCTTCTTTTCAAGCTTGCTTGCATGAAAATAACACTCTTTAATTTGTTTTGCATTGAACTCTAGGCAAATTTTGGGGGCTCTTTTATGACTTTTGGGCGCTCTTTTGGGCATTTCAGGGGCTAATTTGCCCCGAGCCCCCGTGTATTTTTTTCACTGCTTTCGTACAATTTGCGGACCATTTACAAAAAAGCTAAGGTTTCCAACAAACCCCGTCAATTAGTATCTTATCAATATTCATTGCACTTTTTTTTCAGGGCTGCTATTTATTTATTTATTTTTCAAAATAACTTTGTTCTCATTCATATTAATTCGCCACCAATTTTCATTGATATTCAATTTGAACTTAATAATCATAACTGTTAATTAATGCAAAAACATTATTGGAAATAAAAGATTTGTGTATTCACAGAAACACATTTGGTCATCCTGGATTGTATTGCTATGAAGGTATCACAAAATATATAACAAATTGAACAAACACTAAAGCTAATGTATGCACAATAACAAACAAGGTACACTAAACATGTATATAATTTGCAACATCAAATATCCATCATATACAGTGCCATAAAAATCCAGATGTGTTGGTATAACTGGCAAGGAAAAAGGGTTTAAAAAAAAAAATTCAAACAAAAACTTGTGCCAATCAAGTTATAGCTGTGCATTACTTACTGTATGTACATCATACTACTGCTCATACTAGATCATGCAATTCTCATGATTCTCTACTCACAAAATGCATGTACTGTACATGTAGCTATACTACATGTAGGTAAACAAAATTTTAAAACGGGAAAACATCAACAAAGAAACAAAAACAAAAATGAAAAGGGTAATTGGAGTGTAAAAGCTATTTAAAAAAAATGAAATAAGAAAAGCTACATTTACATGTATAGTGTGCTGTTCTCATGTTGTATGTTTCTCTCACTTGGGGGGAGGGGTTTAACACAAAATAATACTAAGTACATGACTTCATACCACACAACAATTTCTAAATTACATGTACAGTTAAAAACTAAATTATTCATACCCCTTGTAAATTTTTGTGTTTTTCGTTACGCAAGAATGAAAGGTTGACTGGCCGAGTAAGGGCCTTTGTTAAAGGTATAGACCAGTTCTGGTCATGTGATTGCATTGTGAAAGAAACGGTGTGGAATCGATCAGAAAAGGTTGATCACCTAGCATATACATGTAAGTATTGGTGTGTACTGCAAGGTTCTGAAATCATCAAAATTATAAGAAATTTGGTCCAGTCTTGGTAAAGTTACAAGCACTGTACACAGAAATATATATATGGGATTACGCGATATCTATCCAGTCTGGATAGTTATAATAATTTACCAAATATATCAATTAGTAGGTGGTTTCCCGGCAAAATTTGTATCATCACGTATTTAGTCAAAACATATTCTTTCACATGATTGCTTAATAAGAGCTTCCATTTCATTTTTTGAGAAGGGGGGGGGGGGGCGTTTCCAAAACTGGTTTATACATGTACCTTTAAATAATTTTAGATGTACACTGTAAGCCTTGATACATGTACATCACATTCTCAAGAAAAACACATCAGGGCAAATCAATTTTTCACATACTTTAAAGAGAAGGTTGAGTTCTGGGAAGAGGTGAAAAATAATTTGTGAGCGTTACTCATTCTTATCATGCAAGGGTGGAAGAACGTCAGATAAAAAATGTTCCCTGAAAAACATGGCTCTTCAAATGCCTTCATATTTTAAATGTGGCATGTAACACCATAAAAATTGGGACAGATTTTTATGCCACATGTTCGTGTAGTGCCATATACATCTTTCTGTGTACAGTGCTTGTAACTTTACAGCCAAATTTCTCATCATTTTGATGATTCCAGAACCTTGCAGTACACACCAATACTTATATTCTAATCTAGATGATCAACCTTTTCTGATCGATTCCACACTGTTTATTTTACAATGCAATTGCATGACCGGAACTCAACTTTATCTTTTAAAAAAATTACATAACTTGGTATGGGTATGAATACTTTAGTTGTTAACTGTACATGTACCGGTACACAATTACTCACTGATGTCATTATTGTGGAGCTTGATTGCTTTGCAAACTAACAGAAGAATAGCATGTATTAAATAGAAATGAAAGTAATCATATATGGTATTGGAAATATTGTTCAAAGTAAAAGATCGTCGACTTCTGGTACCAAAGTTGGTATGGGTATAAATACTTTAGTTGTTAGCTGTACATGTACACAATTACTCACTGATGTCATTATTGTGAAGCTTGATTGCTTTGCAAACTAACAGAAGAATAACATGTATTAAACAGAAATGAAATTAATCAAAAATGGTGTTGGAAATATTGTTCAAAGTAAAAGATCGTCGACTTCTGGTACCAAAGTTCCACACATGTAATCGCATAGTAGTCGTGTACCCCAAAATAAATTCAATTTCAATTGCATTTTTTCACTTACAGTGTCTGTTTTTTCCCCTCTTCCTGTTCTATGAAGTCGTTCTTAAAGGAGACCCAGAAAATGATAGTATAATATACTCAGAATAGACCCAGGAAAGAAACATTATTGGAATTTAACCGGTGTTTTTTTATTTTGAAAGAAGGGTAGAAGCTGGATGTCTGTAAACGGTGATGCGCATAGTAATGCATTTTGTTACATGACCTTTATAAAGAAAACGCTATTTAACAGATATGTTTCTACAGAACTGAAAAGGCTAGTATTCCAGGAATAATTGCCTCAAAAGGTATGGGTAATTTTTTATGACCATATGTGGTACAAAATCGGCTCAAACTCTCCCCTGTTGTGCAAGACATACAGGTCTGTGTATGGGGAAACCAGGGGAATGTTAAAAAATTGTCAGTTATTAAAGAATGACCCATACCAGACTGTTATTTCTGTCTAGGGTAAACCCTAACTTACCCTTACACTGTGGTTTATGAGTTTATGAGTTAACCCTAACTAACCCTAACCCTATGGTTTATGAGTGTATGTTTAACCCAACAGTTTATGAGTTTATGAGTTAACCGTAACTAATCCTAACCCTAACCCTATGGATTATGAGTTTATGTTTAACCCAAAGGTTTATGATTTTTTGAGTCAACCATAACTAATCCTAACCCTATGGTTTATGAGTTTATGAGTTAACCGTAACTAATCCTTACCCTAACCCCATGGTTTATGAGTTAGAATTCCCCACTCATAACATGAAGGAGGTTCTTGGTTATCGAGGTAACTTCCAAAGAATAATCAGCAAAAATAAGGCAAAAACTTGCCTCATTCAAAGCTGGATGATCAATGTCAATGAATGACGTCATCATCGTTCATGCGCAGTAACAGTTTAAAATACGGCTGCATGAATTTCAACACAGAGCTCAATTTCAACGAAGAAAATCTGGAAAAAAGACCCTTATGGCCTTAAACGCATCATGCAGTCAATCTGGTACCGTATGTGGAACCGATGTAGGCCTATATTAGCCTAGATTCTAGACCTAGGCACAATTTTCAAAAAAGCCATTGGCATTGGATATGAATCCGCTAAAATTGAGTAGAATCTAGATCTACAGTGTGAGTCAAAAAAAAGTTTGCACCTAGAAAATTGCTAATTATTTAAAAAATCATCTATGAACAGTAAATTATTATACATCTTATGAAAGAGTGTTTTATCCCGAATCATTTAGCACCATTTCGTGTGGTATGCGTTCACGCTTGGATGAACAGAAGGTATTGTTTGCGAGAGTGCAAAAATTGACTTGCGCCAAAGTTGCTTATGTGATGTTTGAATAAATCAATTGGGATTTGGGTATTATGTCGGTCTTTGCCGGTCCAAATAACATCCCTAACAAAATTTATCATGCCACACATATCAAATATCGAATATCAAATATCAACAAACATGTGCGCGTGCTTGTGTTTGTGTGTGACTTTGCTTCTGCAAAAAGCAAATGCAATGCATTTCATTTGATACATTCAATTCATTCTCCCACTCCGCTAATCCCAACATAATACGTACTGGAGGCATCACTTTGGCGCAAGTCGATTTTTACACTCTCGCAAACAATGCCTCCTATTCATCCCAGCGTGATCACATACCACACAAAATTGATACCAAATGATTTGGGATAAAACACACTTTCATAAAATGTATAATAATTTACTGTTCATAGATGATTTTTTAAATAATTAGCAATTTTCTAGGTGTAAACTTTTTTTTGACTCACACAGTAGATCTAAACCTAGACTAGAGGGTCTATTTGGGGAAAAGTTTTGTGGCCATAAATCATAAATGGCCAAGTACATTGTACGACTAGACCTATACTCTACAAAGAGAACTGTACTATGGAAGAAGAAGAAGAAGAGACGCTATGCTATGGTCGGCTTCTGTCTCTAAAGAGAGGAGCTGACCCTAGATCTACCCACACATACATTGTAGGAGCATCACTATCCTGGCTGTGTAGTAAATGGCTTTTGATTCTCAACATTTCAAACACCACTGTACAAAACTCAACTGATTTCACTCAAAATAGGTACTTTAGTGACAATTGATGACAC